TACAAAATAATTTTTCCCTAAATGAAAAATCTAGCCTCTCACGGCATTTTTCAGTGACAGAGCAAAAAACTCATCAAGCACTGCACCTTCATATGTGTATCTCCTGTATCTCACAAGTTTATATGCATCATGATTTCATCCCACTGCAAACTGAAAGTCAACTAATAAGTATATGTGATAAAACCAAAACCAAACTCACTTCCGTCAAGTCAGATCTAACTCAGAATGAACCCTCTTTGAGTTTCTGATGCAGTATCATCACTACGGAAGTAGATTGCCCAATCTTCCTTCCAAGTAGTGGCTGGTGGGTTTGAACCACCAGCCTTCTGGTCAGCAGTCAAATGCCTTAGGCACTATGCCACCAGAGCTCCTAGTATATATGGTAGCAACTGCCTTCTAACATCGTATGCCAGTGATATGCAAAATCTAGTAGTATTCCTTGATCAAGACATTTTGCTACTATGTTGTTCAGCTTTCTGAGTTACCCACCTCAAGTTTCCACACTATTTCCCAGCTTCTCATTGTTCTCCAGAGTATCAGGACCTTGGCTCAGTCTATTCACAGCCACAGACGTTCAGGGAGGTAATGATACCTGGAACAACCTCCACTTGATAGGATTTTGAGTCAATGGATGAATGTCTAAATCTCCTGTCACTGGGCAGGAAAATTCAAAGGTACATTCTACACAGTTCATCAGAGGAGCCCTCTAGAGGGATTCCTCAGCAGGAATGAGTTCCATTTTCCAGAGTTAATAGCCGGATCAGTGTAGTCTTTGTCCACTTTCCTTCTGAACTTCCTAACCTCCTGCTTCCACACTCTGTGGCTTCCTATACCACCACTTTGAGGGGAAAAAACTAATATTTTTGTGGAATCACTGTCTTTTCTGAATTTAGCTATAAAGTAATCAATTTTATACCAATTTCAAACACTACTGGTTTATTAGCACTTGCACCTTATTTGCGAATGGTACAAAAACAGGCAACAGATTGATCACTAGGGCGGTATTAATGAATAGATTTCACTTCTGTTTTAGTTTCTTGTATGTATAATCCTCAAATTCACAAAATTATATATTCTAGTACATGGAGAATTATATTCTATATTTGCAATGGAACCCTAATCACCACTTATGTTTATAGCATTATTTTTAGTTATAAACTGTGAACCTATTGGTATAGTATATGTATTTTTATCCATTTTATTCTTCAGCCAACCATTTTTGAACCATTTGTGATTGAGAATGTAATGCAATAATATAGTGATCAGTTGGGTCTTCTGGGAATGAGATGCTGAAACAGACAGGAGTGCAAGAGATTTATTGGGGGTTGTTGTTGTTGTTGTTGGGTGCTGCTAAGTTGCAACTCTTTGCGCAACAGAACGAAACAGTGTCTGGCCCTGCACCATCCTAACAATTGTTGCCGTGCTTGAGCCCACTGTTTGCGGCCACTGTGTCAATCGATCTAATTAGGGGTCTTCCCCTTTTTTGCTGACCCTCTACTTTGGCAAGCATGATATCCCTCTCCAAGGACTGGTCCCTCCTGATAACATAACCAAAATGCAAGAGACAAAGTCCAGATATTCTTGCTTTTAAGCAGCATTGTGTCTGTCCTTCTTCCAAGACAAAATTGTTAGTTCTTCTGGTAGTCTATAGCATATTCAATATTCTTCACCAACACAATTCAAATGCATCAATTTTTCCATGATCTTATTTATTGTCTAACTTTCACATGCATTATGAGGCTATTGAAAATACCAAGACTTGGGTTGGGCACATCTTAGTCTTAAAGTGACATCTTTGCTCTTTAACACTTTGAAGATGTCTTTTGTAGATTTGGCCCTATGTAATATGTCATTTGATTTCTTGACTGTTGTTTCCACGGGCACTGACTGTGGGTCCAAGTAAAATGAAATCCTTTACAACTTCAATCTTCTCTCCACTTATGATATTGCTTACTGGTCCAGTTGTGAGGGTTTTTGTTTTGTTTATGTTGACATGTAATCTGTACTGAAGGCTGTAGTCTTATTGGGGGTGGTGCCTATACAAGATAGGAGGGGGAAGAAACAGGAGTGGGCAAAGGAATTCTTCAAACCATGACGCAGACCTGACATGTGTGAAAGGAAAGGGGATGGGGAAGAAATAGGGTTGGGTTAGGAGATCCTCATACTGCAATGCAAATATGACAGAGTTTCAGTGAACCCAACAGGGAGCTCCAGAGTAAAGATTTTTCCACTAAAGGAGTCACACATTTGAAAGAATTAGCTAGTCTCTGGTAGTGTAGTGCCTAAGGCACTTGACTGTTAACCAGAAGGCTGGCGGTTCAAACCCACCAGCCACTCCTCAGAAGGAAGGTTGGGCAATCTACTTCCATAGTGATACCGCCTTGGAAACCCAAGGAGGGGTCACTTTGAGTCAGGTATGACTCGATGGCACGTAACAACAACAACAGTACCCCTACCATGCTTAGTCATGGTTGAAGAATGACTTTGGCTGGCCTCTGCTCAAAGGCTGAGATAGATTCTGAATAAAATCACAATGGATAGCAAGCACCTGAAAGTTCCAAAACTCTAGGCATCTTTTCCATGTACTCTTTACAGCTGACTGGCAAATGCTTTCCTGACGGGGGGGTTCAAGTACCACATCTCCATGGTTGCCACAAATGTTGTTGTTGTTGTTGTTATGTGCCGTCGAGTCGGCCCCGACTCATAGCGACCCCTCCTTGGGTTTCCGAGGCAGTATCACTACGGAAGTAGGATTGCCCAACCTTCCTTCCGAGGAGTGGCTGGTGGGTTTGAACCGCCAGCCGTCTGGTTAGCAGGCAAGTGTCTTAGCCACGATGCTACCAGAGCCACAAATAGTCATATGAAATAAATACAATCTTAGCAAATATGAATACCGATATGAAAACTACATGACAAATTACCTAAGATGAATTGCACTCTGTTAACTGAATGTCAGATGAGATGATCTGACCACAGAAATTCTTGAAGCACATATACAGCCTTTACAAGTTAAAGAGTTATTAATAAAATAACAAGATTTCTGTCAAAATCATAACTAAGGTTATATTTTAATATTTTGAAATGTGAGTAAAGCAGTATCACAAAATTTGACCAGTGAATTCTAACAAATATCCAATTTTATCTATCCCATACTTTTTTGTTAGCAAATAGAGGAATAAGTGGAATACAAACTTTGGCTAATCAGTGAATGTCCAGGTGCCATATTGAGGAGATTTCCCATCAACTCCCCTGAGGCCACAGACTACCTGTGTCCAGATGACTCAATTCATATCACCACTCTTCTCTGAGCTTCAACTTCATATATCCAACTGCTTGGATACATGAAGTTCATATACATTTTGAGTTGATACATTTCAACTTCACCTTGCATAAAAGTGAACTCATATATTGTTTCCCTCAATCATAGGTCTGTTCCAGTATTTTTTATCACAATAAGATAGCACCACCATTTGAGCAAGAAAAACCCATACATTAAAACTGGTCCCTTTTCCTTATCATCACATTCAAGGTATCAACAACTGCTATCTATTTTACCTCCTAAATAGCTCTTAAATCTGTCCATTTCTTCCACCACTATCCCAGTCAAAGCTATCATTTCTTCCAGCTGTTTACAATAGTGTCTTAACTGTTCTATCCACATCCACTCTGCCCACCTAACACCATCTGTTCTCCGTATGACAGCTGAACAGCTATAGAACACAGCTACTAGAATAGATTAATAAAGATTCTCACCTGTGCTCTGCAGTTCCTGATTTATCTATTATGTATTATTGCACTTTGTTCCTGAACATCTGGACTACCAGAAACACTCTGCTTTCACTGCAGAGGCAACAGTTTACTAATCCTCTGTAACCCTGGCAACCTTTCCTTTCTTCTAGAACATGACTCTGACCCAATACATTTACAACCTCAAGGTGGTTAAGTCCTGGGGAACAGTAATTAATGGCATGACCTTAACTGTCTTGGAAAGTAATAGGAACAAGAGATAAATTTTAAAGAAATAAAAGAATCTACATTCTCTTTGAAGTCCAGGGATAGGCGTAAGGGTTCCAATGTCAAGATCATGAGAGATAATTCCCCCTAAATGGAAAACAAGGTGCTGCACACAATACTAACTGGAAATTTTTTTGTATTTCAGAAGCATACTTAGGAAGTATTTAGGTGTCCTCAACCAATAAGGATTGGTGGTACAGTGGTGAAAGTGCTCAGCCGTTAACCAAAACATCGGTGGTTTGAACCCACCAGCCGTTCTTCAGGAGAAAACGTGGCAGTATGCTTCCATAAAGATTTATAGCATTAGAAACCCAATGGGGGTCGTTATGAGTCAGAAAGAGTGGGTTATTCTCCTTTTGAGAAACAGGTAAAACTAAGTATCGGATTATGAAGTCAGGCAAGTATGAAACTTAGACTGCCCTTCATGAACTAGAGTCATCAGACCCACAATCCATAAGACTAAGTTTGCCTTAAAACACTTCAGGAAGTGGTGTATGTAAGAACAGACTCTCCAGGCCACAAGGGTGAAGGGACTGTTCAAATGGGTTGCTCACTTGGACCAAAGAAGTATAGACATTTATATATTTATGTTGTTGTTGTTATGTGCCGTCGAGTCGGCCCCGACTCATAGCGACCCCTCCTTGGGTTTCCAAGGCAGTATCACTACGGAAGTAGGATTGCCCAACCTTCCTTCCGAGGAGTGGCTGGTGGGTTTGAACCGCCAGCCGTCTGGTTAGCAGGCAAGTGTCTTAGCCACTATGCTACCAGAGCTCCCTTATATATAGGAAGGGCTTAATAAAATCTTGCTGAATGAGGTGAACTCATGAGTCTGTTCCTAAGAACTAAAAGATTCTTAGTGATACTGCCTCGGAAAACCAAGGAGGGGTCGCTTGAGATGGATCCAACTCGATAGCAGTGCGTTTGGTTTAAATATTAAATAGCAGGTAATCAAATATTTTTCTGAACTGAATTTCACCAGACATTATGCTTCATTAATAATATTTATTTTAAAGACCACTTTTATTGTAACAAATATAAAATTCATCAGTGTTTTACGTTTTACAAAATGTCAAAAATGCTTTAAGTACAAAACATGTTAATAAAATGAAAATTATGTTGTATTATCTGATACATACTTAATACTGTCAACATGCACACCATATGCCAGAAAAGCCCATGCATTATTAAAAGAAAAAAATGAATAAGATAGAACGGCTGTATTGTCTCATTACAAGTTCATTGCTTCGGTCAGTTTTCTTTCTTCAGGGATACCATTTACCTGAAATATGTAAGAATGAATACGGGCATGAGTTAGTCAGGGCAGGGACATTTCTAGTTTTAAAGCAAAACTAATTATGGTAAGGAGAAATTTTGGACTTGCTTAGCATGATTTAAAATAATTATTTTGCATTATATCTCTGCATTTAGTTTCAAGAAAAATAAATAAATAAAATTCTACATAAGCCCTCTCCTCTTTGGACCAAAGCCATAATTTTTTGTATATCTCAAAAGGTACAGCCTGAAAATTCCTCCCACAATAAACAAAAAGAATAAGCCTGACTGTGGGATGTATGACTGTACCTTTTAATCATGGCTTTTTAGAAAATACCATGTGGGTTGGGAGGGCACAGAAAATGGGAAAACCTGAAGGGCTTCAAACCTAATGGCTTGGGCTCACTCCAAAAGGTAGGGCTATTGTCAAGTCGTAACTGCCCTATTATCCCAGCTAGGGCTTAAGTCCAGGATTACAACAGCGGCAACTAGTCCATTTCCTAAACTTTTCATGAGAATTTCAAAGGAAACAACTAACTAAATGAAACAGAAACTTCAAAATCTACTCTCCCTAATGACTTCTACATAGTTAGTTACAAATAAAATTATTTGATATCCAGGAGATAAACCCTGTGCCTAAATTAATGTCATAAAGAAAACTGTAACACTAGCCTAGCCTAGGGCTTTGAGCTACTTGGAAAAAACAAGTAATTGTTTCTCAATAATCAGGCACAAATGTAGCCGCCTCTTTGTGGGATGAGAGTAACCAAGGTGGAGGAACAGAAAAGCTGTTGTGCCCATGAAAATCCATTAACAGTACTGAACCCACACATTTACAGAAGAACAGAATAACTCAGAAGTTGAGAAACAAATTTTTTTTTCACTTAAATGGGCAGAATGGGAATAAAGGATATAATCTGTGTATTTATCTCTTTCTTCTCTCCAGGTGCATTACTCTATTTAGTTTTAAATTTATCAGAGGCATTATATAAAAATGCTAAGCTGGTCTCTCTCCCTTTAGCACGTTAAGATGCTTGGGAGGCTCACTCAAGAAAACAAATAAGCAAACAACAACAAAAAAAAACCCACAAAACACAAGCCTAGAAAAAACAACAATAAGGGAAGAGAGTATACTTCAGTCCATAATATGTTCCAAATTGCAGAAAAATGTAAGAAAACAAGAAGGTAATAGGCTTCAACGTTAACTTAAAAGATCAAAGCTTTCCTGACTCAAGCAAATGCCTGCTCCCCAAAACCTGTTTTAGAAAAATAATTTAGAAAATAGGTTGAACAACTTAAAACCCCCTAGGGAAGTTCTTTGGCTCTTTATCGTACTTGCTCAGGCACAAATTGTCCTTGTATTTGGAAATGCTCCTTGTTACTAAAATGCAGCGTGCTAACAAGTCTACTTACTCAAAAATCTATACAATGATAAAATAAACCCTTCTATTATTACCTACCCAAGTTTCTTCATTTCCCTAATGATATAAAATCTGGATTTTTAAACACTGAAAAGAAATATTTACTATTTTTGTAGAAATTACCTCCTTTCTACTCACTCCATGCCTGAAATAATTAAAAATCAGAAGAAAGAAATCTTAGGAGGGACAGAAAACTTTGAGGTTAATAAGGAAGAAGTTCTAGCATTTCTTTGTAGAAATATGGTTTTAAATTTTTTCCTCTTAAAGATATTAGTTGTATTGAGATTCATTTAATTTTTGCTCTGTAGGTAACACATGTTTACAACAAAGTTTGTTCCTTCATCAATCTCCTGAACGCTTACACAGTAGCACCACCACATCAATATATTGAATAGTCTTGTTGAAACATGTTAGTATTTAATTAAAACAAGTAATCAAAATTGTGGGTAAAAAATCTGATAAATGTTATCTCATAATTCAAATTTGATGAACAACTTCATTATACTTGCCTCAAATCTTTGAAAAGTTGTCAAACGAAAATCTCCTTAAATTCCCGAAAGCAGTAACAGAGAAGATAAATTTTTAATGAAAACACCCAATAAATATATGTGTGTGCCTGAAGTTTTAAGAGACTTACTTAATAGCTTCCCTACCACAATGCCACCAATTCATACTCAGAATTCCTCATCAGCGTTACATTTTCAAAACTCCTCTTGCTTTTCCAAAAGAGCTACAAAAGCATCACTGGTTGCCTGGCAATTAGAACCAGGAATCAAACCCTAATTAGAAGACAATCGTGAACAAGTTAACTACTCAGTACCAAGATGAATGAAATAATTGGCTGTGGAAAATTTTAGGGACACTTGAAAGAAATAAACTTAAAGAAACAAAGTCTTAGGGAAATAGAATGGTCCAGGGAGAATTGTCCGCCATCTTGTTGTCACTGGTCATGTTTTAACAGCTTTTTAAAGGGGCTTTAAAGCCAGCCCAACTATTTCTCATTTATCCCCTGAAGCCTTAGTGATCAGTCACAATGGTTTCCTTTTGTAAGAGTCAGTTTCAAGCTGCTCACTTACTGAGACAAATCCTGGATGCATCCAATCTAACAATCTTTCATACAGGAAGAATAGGAAGCTTTGCTGAAGGAAGGGGACTTAATTCAGTCTTCCTTAATTAGACAGGACCTCCATGGATGCGTCTGCTTTAAGAGACTCTGCCCTGTGTTCATAACCCTGGTGCCAATCTATGCAAAAAACTAAGCTATTCTTCTGAGGTTCTAACTCTGATTAAGGAATGACACAACTGTTTTGCCTTATTTGGTGAAGCAAAGGCTTCATAAATAATATATTACTATAATTATCTTTTACTCTATTAGCATCATCCATAAACAGCAACTTATTTTCAGTACTCACCTGCAGTCTGCTGTTGTGGAATCTGAGTCTGATGTGGCAAGTTCCTAGAAATGATTAACATTTTTCAATAAAACAATTCAGTTAACACACACATGTGAATAGAGAGACATTAGGACGAAAACTTTTATAGTTAGAAAGGACCCTGGAAGTCATCTAATACTGCACAACTCGGGTTCCTACCCCATGAGTTTATGGATGGGAAAAATGAAGTTTAAGAATGGTAAATAATATTTTATAACATTCACTGAGGTTTTATTACATGCTATACTGTAAACCACCTCACAAAACCCTGGAAGGTACGTATTATCATTTTTCTCATTTTACAGATGAAGAAACAGGCTTACAGGTTTTAGGCTACATAGTTAGGAAGTAAAGGACAAACTTGTGAGCACAGTGACTTTGGGACTTGTGCTCTTAACCTGTGAGTACTTTCAGATCCAGGACTAGAACATACACATACATTCACACACCCTCAATGAACAACATAGATGACCACTTTCACTTACTATCCCAACTTGTGCTCCCACCCCAGGGAATGAAACTGCCAATCTACCCAGCTTTGCTAGTAAAACTGTAGTTTTCCTTGATCCTTCACTCTCCCTAAGTCCCATATATCTATATCACTTGGGAACTCTTGATGATTTCTTCAATCACCTTTGAGTCTGCTCCCCTCTCCCCCATGTCCATTGCCACTAACCTCATTGAGGACTTCATCATTTCTCTCTTGGATCATTGCAACTTGTCTGACGTATTTCCTCATTCCCATTCTTGCTCCCCTATAAGCCATTTTACACAGTCCTGTCAAAATGAATTTTCTAAGACACAAATCTGATCATGTCATTCAAATAGTTAAATGATTTTCAGTATTTCCTTATATCTACCTGAAAATTAAGTTTCAGGTTTTTGAGCTCAGAAGTCACTCAATATATATGGTCCATACATGGAGCTTTGAATATATCCCACTTGAATTTAAAGCCAATATCAAGAATGGATTTGATGCATTGAATACCAATGACTGAAGACCACTGAGCTGTGAGATAACATCAAGACCATCATACATGAAGAAAGCAAAAAGTTCATTAAAAACACTGAGAAGAAAGAAAAGACCAAAATGGATGTCAGAAGAGACTCTGAAACCTGCTCTTAGAATAGCTAAAACAAATGGAAGAAATGATGTAATAAAAGAGCTGAACAGATTTCAAAGGTTGGCTGGAGAAGACAAAGTAAAGTATTACGGTGAAATGTGCAAAGATCTGGAGTTAGAAAACCAACACGGAAGAACACGCTCAGCATTTCTTTCTCAAGCTGAAAGAACTGAAGGAAAAAACTGAAGCCTCAAGTTGCAATGTTGAAGGACTCTATGGGTTAAATATTGAACAATGCAGAAGCATCAAAGGAAGATGGAAGAAATACAGAGTCACTGCACCAAAGAGTTAGTGGATGTTCAACAATTTCAGAAGGAAGCATATCATCAAGAAACAATGGTACTGAAGAAAGAAGTCTAACCTGCACTGAAGGAAATGGTGAAAAACAAGGCTCCAGGAACTGCTGGAACCCCAATTGAGATGCTTTAACAAACAGATGTGCACTGGAAGCAGTCACTTGTCTATGCCATGAAACTTGGGAGACAGCTACCTGGCCACCCAATTGGAAGAGATCGGTATTTGTGCCCTTTATAAACAACAACCACAAAAAAGGTGACCCACCAGAATGTGTAAAGTATCAAACAATACCATTAATATCACACCCAAGTAAAATTTTGCTGAAAATAATTCAAAAATGGTTATAGCAGGACATAGAAATGGAACTGCCATAAATTCAAGCTGGATTCAGAAGAGGACATGGAATAAGCAATACCAGTGCTGATGTCTGATGGATCTTGGCTGAAAACAAAGAATACCAGAAAGATGTTTACCTGTGTTTTATTGATTATGCAAAGGTACTTGACTGTGTGTATCATAACAAACTATGGATAACATTTTTTTTTTTTATCTGTAATTCTTTTTTTTTTTTTTATTAGGATTTGGGTGAAGATTTACAGAGTAAATTCACTTTTCATACAGCAGTTCACATATACTTTGTCTCATGTCATTGACCAAAATTTACAATGCAGCAGCTCCCCTCCCACTTCCTCCCCATAGTTACCTCCTCCCAGTGTCCATCCCTTCATACTCTTCTGCACCCTGAGCTATCTCCCTGTGCATAAGAAGCCCTTCCTTCTCCCATGATTATTCTCTCCAGGGCATGTGTCTACTTGAGGTAAATGTTTAACTCACATGCCTGTACTTTGTTTGGCTGGAAACCACAGTTGTGGGTTCAATTCCAGACCTGAAGGGCAGCTAGGGGCCATAGTCTCAGTGGTTCCACCAGGCTCTATTGGACCAGCAAACCTGGTCCCCACCTTCTTTTTTTTATTTTTTATTTTTTTTTATTTTTTCCTTATGGATAACATTTTGAAGAATGGGAATTCCAGAACACTTAATTGTGCTCATGTGTAACCTGTACATAGACTAAGAGGCAGTCATTCTGACAGAAAAAGGGAATACGGCATGGTTTAAAATCAGGAAGGGTGTGCCTCAAGGTTGTATTCTTTTACCATACTTACTCAGTTTGTACACTGAGTAACTAATCCAAGAAGCTAGATTATATGAAGCAGAATGTGGCGTCAGGATCGAAGGAAGAGTCATTAGCAACCTGTGATACCTACATGACACATTTGTTTGCTGAAATGGAGGACTTGAAGCATTTACTGACAAAGATCATACTGATGAAGTATGTATTACACTTCAACATAAAGAAAACAAAAATCCTCACAACTGGACCAATAAGCAGTATCATGATAAATGGAGGAAAGGTTGAAGTTGTTAAGGATTTCATTTTACCTGAATCCACAAACAACACCCAAGAAAGCAGCACTCAAGAAATTAAACAACATATTGCATTTCTGCCGCAAAAGCAGAGATGTCACTGTGTGGACTTAGGTGTGCCTGACCCAAGGCATGGTATTTTCAATCACCTCAAATGCATAAGAAAGCTGGACAATGAATAAGGAAGACCAGAGAAAAACAGATGCATTTGAATGATGGTGTTGGTGAAGAATATTGAATATGCCATGGGCTGCCAGAAGAACAAACAAATTCGTCTTGGAAGAAGCACACTCAGAATGCTCCTTAGAAGCGCGGATGGTGAGACTTCATCTCTCATATTCTGGTTATGTTATCAGGGGAGACCAGCCCCTGGAGAAAGACAACATGCTTGGTAAAGTAAAGCATCAGTGAAAAACAGGAAAACCCTCACAAGATGGACTGACACAGTGGCTGCAACAATGGGCTCAAACATAGCAATGATTATGAGGATGGCATAGGTCCGGGCAATGTTTCGTTCTGTTGTACACGAGGGTACTGTGAGTCAGAACCAACATGACGGCACCTGACAACAACAGGCAGTCCTCCCTGAAAATCAACCACCATGGTCACTAGCACCTTCTGTGCCCAGATAACTCCCATTCCCATTCATCATTTCAAAAATTCAACTCATAATTTGTTACAGTGGACATGTATTGTGCTTATAATTAAAAAAAAATCTTATGATGAATGCTATTAAAATTTTTCACTTACTATATTTAAAAGAAAAAATATCTCAAGTACCACAATTTCTATGATTCCTCTCTATCTTAAACACCACTCCCCCAATTAGATTTCCTATTAGTGTCCTTTCATACTAAATGACTGTTGGTATTTTCCACATATAACATTGAATTGTCCCAAAGTACAGTAAGAACTATCCTATTTCATTTAGCATCCCTTGCTGTTAGCATGCAATTAATGTTTTTTGAATGAATACATACAAAAGTGAAGATATTTTAAAAGGCCACACAATATACACAATACACACACACACACACAGAATTTAGCTGCAAAATTAATGAAACGCATTTTGAAACAATGAAATGCATTTGAAAATTTATGAAAATGTACAATTTAAGTTTTGGTGGTAGGAGAAATTCTAGGAGTCAGCCCTGACTACAAAGTAGGGCTTGATATAAGCCAGGGAGGAACTTTTAGTTTCATGTTTCTCTTCAGCCACGGAACTCCTTTTAATTGAAATCCTAAGCAGTACCCTGATACACAAAAGCGACTGATGTGAGGTTGCCTGGGTTGAAACAAGGGAGCCAGGAATCCCACCTACTTTGTTTCCTTTGCCCCACAGGCTGACCATGCTGACCCCTGAGGCATTTCTAAGAAACCTCCAAGAAACAGAGTTTGAAAACCATTGATCTAAATAATTTTGTCCAGGCAAATACTAAGTTCCAAATGCAATGATCTAAAATGTAAAACAGTATGCAAAATAGTTAAATACAGTTTAAACTCTTAAACTACAGGAAGCCAATGACTTAACTGATTAAAAAACTCAGTTCCATTTAAAATACATTCTTATGGAGATAACAGAATTGATTCTAACTCAATTTGATAAAGTTCTTTAATAATTCATCGCACATTCTTTTTTGCTGTTCCATGTAATGCCTAAGGCACTTGCCTGCTAACCAGAAGGCTGGTGGTTCAAACCCACCAACGACTCCTCGGAAGGAAGATGGGGCAATCTACTTCCATAGTGATACTGCCTCAGAAACCCAAGGAGGTGTGTCTACAAGTCAGGTCTGACTCGACGGCACGTAACAACATCAGCCCTATTTGTCTTTGTGTGGGTTAAAGGAGCATTTCTTTTGTTTTTTTCTTTCTGTATTTCACACAATGTGTTTATATTGATTTTGACTATGGAAGTAAAAAAGATTGTTGTGTAAACCACATAGAAGAAATGAGTTTTAGATTTAAAGATGGAAAAGTGAACATTTTTACTATGTAATTATTATTGTTATTTACTTACATAGTCAAAATGTAATGAACATGGGCACTGGAAGGAAATGACTGCATTTATCAGCTTCTAATGAAACTGATACAAACACACATTTAAGTGCACACTCAGGTACTTCTTAATTCCCTATCATCTGTAGCTCTACTTAGCCTATTAGCAGATTAAATCAACA